TTAACTTAAAATTACATACCATGAAATTGACCTCCTAAAACAGTCACACCGTCTATTACAGACTGTGAAAGTTTCTCACTACTGGGCCTGTGAAAGAAAAGAAAGTTAGTAAACGGGAAAGCAAATGGAGGAGTGTGTGCTTACAATTTCAAAATACACGTTCAATGAACCTGAAAGCAATCAACTCTGGCAAAAACACAGGGCAAATTACAATCATTTTCCCAGGATCCTTTGCACAGGTGACTTCTTAGAAAATTTGGGCTTTTAAATTTACAAACTAGATACAAAGAGCCAGGTTTGCTGACGCAGACCTCTAATTCCTCCCACCCACTTGAGAAGCTGAGGCAGGAGGATCACTAGGTTCAATGCCTGCACAGAGTGAGTTCAAGGTCAGCTTGGGTAAATTCGTGCGACTATATCAAAATTAAAAAGGGAGCTAGGACTGTAGCTCAGTACAAGTGTGTTTTCCTAATATACACAAAGCCCTGGATTCAATACCCTGTACTGGCAAAAAAAAAAAAAAAAAAAAAGGAAAAAGTGGGAGGGATATAAAGGAGGGCTGGGGAGAGCTCAGTAGTTAAAAGTGCATATTGTTCTTGCAGAGGACCCGAGTTCAATTCCCAACATAGGTAGCTTACAACTGCCTGTAACTCCAGCTCAAGGAGATCAGATACCCCCCAACCTTCTCAAACACACACACACACACACACACACACACACACACACACACACACACACACACAATAATATTTTTAAAGTTATAAAAGACACCTTAACTTATACCTAAAACATGTTTAACTACAGCAGTATGTATCTTAGCTAATAATAGCCACAATCAATACTGAATGCACACAGTGATGTAGGAGAGTGGGGTCTTAAACTACTGAGAGCATAAAGCCTAGTTTTCATTTTATAAAATCAGAACAAATTACCCATCTATCTGAGAAGTAAGTGAACCATCATATAACCACAGGTGAGAGCCAAACACAGTAATGGGATAATAACTGACTTGAGGGCATAAATCAATTAGCTATTTCTGCTGCCTATGGACCTAATGAGTAAGTAGTTTTTGCAAAACCTGGTAACACGGCACAGGGTAAAAACAAAGACCAGCTATCCAGAGAATGAGAAGGTGTATCTTAGAAAGAAGACTTAGATGAAGCCAGAACTTGCATGAAAGAGAAAATGACCACTTGTACCAGGCTTTTTCTTTTGGGATCCACCAACCAACTCCCAAATCATGACACAGAGACTTATTGATAGTTATGAATGCTGGACCTTAGCTTAGCTCTTTTCTGACTAGTCCTTTTAATTTAAATTAACCTGTTTCTCCTTTATCTACCTTTTGCCTCGGGGCTTTTTACGTTTCTTCTATAGATCTTACTTTCACTGCTTCTCTGTGTCTGGCTTCTTGCCCCAGGGGTGTCCCTCCTTTTCTTCTTCTTCCTTCTCCTCCTCCTCCTCCTCTTTCTCGTTCCTTTCTTCTCCTCCCAGCCTAGATTCCTCCTCCTATTTATCCTCTCTGTCTGCCAGCCCTGCCTATCCTTTCCTGCCTAGCCATTGGTCGTTCAGCTCTTCACTAAACCAATCAGGTGCCTTAGACAGGCAAAGAGAAACAAATGCCAACACACCTTTACATAATTAAACAAATGCAACATAAACAAAAGTAACACACCTTCACTCAGTTAAAATAATATTCTGCAACATAAACAAATGTAACACATCTTTGCCCAGTTAAAATAATAGTCTACAGCAACTACTGTTTCAAAGTACACATTTAACCCAACACTGCAAAAAAGGAGGCTTTTGTAGAGGCGAAAGCTGCTGAACAGGACAAACACACAGACTATAAAATGCTGTTTCCAGTAAATTCCAGAATGAAGAAATGACTGAACATCTGAACCAGTAACAAATTAGAAACCACATCTCTAAGTGTAGTTTGTTAAAAGTTATGTGCTCTGACTCTGCATGGGGCAAATAACCTACAAAGTGTCACAATAAATAAACGCTGCTAATATACAAGGAAACATCAATTTTGTACATATGATTTCATGTAACTCTCACAAAAATGCTGATTTATCATCAGCCCTGAGATGGAAGCTGCCAAAGACTATGAAACCTGCTCAGATTATGTAAAAGTTAAAATGGGGGTGACTCCAAACCCAGATTTAGTCACCATGTGCCACTTAAAAAGGCAAAAAGACAGTGGGGGGTGGACTAAGCCTCTCTTACTCCTGCCCACTGGCCTTGGGCATGAAAACAGATGCAATCCCTCACAGTTATGGCAACTCTGATCCTCACCTGGTGTCTCTACCAATAACTACGAAGGCAGCCTGCTGCGGATCCACGGCTTCTTTCTCCATGATGGCAGCAAGCACTCTAGGCATCTCCTGCTCCTCAGCACTGGCCAGACAGGTAGCATGCTCCTCCCAGGAAGGGGCCAACATTTCCCCCAACGGATCAATCAATTTCACGCCGTTGTCTTCCTAAAAGAGAAACAAGCCTTAAGGGGAGCACACAATGGAGGTGACTGGAGGAAGAACCTTTACTGCCACCCCTCCAACTGATGGCTGAGCAGCTGCCCTGGGTACCGCTGGCACCAATGCCAGGCACCGGCCGCTGTTTCCCTTGCATTACCTCTTCTGTTCCTTGTGACACAATCATTACTGATAATGTCTCCATCCAAACTGGGAAGGACGGTCTGTTATTTCTCTAATCTGGACACTCTCCAAAACACAGCCTCATTTCATTCCCTCCACACCCAGCTCAGCTGGACAGCTGCTCTGAGAGTTGTTCCAGACAAGGAGCACACAAATAAGGAGGCACACTCCCAGCATTAGAATGTGGACTCTGGATCAAAGTGCTAAGATACTAGAGATCAGCCTTGTAAATAAGGGCACCAACTTGTTACCTCAGGATTGTGTGAGGCCGTAACCATGACTCCAATGGTGGCTCTTGTCTGTTTTGACCTCAGGACGGCTAGTAATCCCATTCGAAACATAATATGATCGAGATGTTGGGCGTTTGTCCGAAATCCAGCAGTCCCATACTGGAGAATGAGCCCCTGGGGCTTGGCATGGAATGCTGAGCGTTTAGAAACAGCCTCCAGATCCATGTCTGCAAAAGTAAGAAATAGGAAGAAAAAGCTTTCAAGGACCATTTGCTTCCAAACTGCCACCTCAACATAACACATTTATTTCACTGGGACCCTCTCCAAAGAACCATGTGGGGTGGGGGGCGTGGGAGAAGGGAGCAAAGAGGAGAAAAAGGTAGTCCAACAGTGATGGCCCATGCCTTTAATCCCAGCACTCGAGAGGCAGAGGCAAGCAGGTCTATAGCTTGAGTTCCAGGACAGCCAGGACTGTTTCACAAAGAAACCCTGTCTCGAAAGAGAGAGAAAGAGAAAGAGAGGGAAAGAGAGAGAGGAATTCCTAGAGTTAGAATTAACTAGAAGCTCCTGCCTAAACTGTGCACTCCAGAGCAGAGTCAGGACAGAAACCAGCTTGTCCACTTCTTTCCCACTTGGCCTCCAGGATGAACTTTCCTTAAATAATGACCTCACATCTCTATTCAGAGACTCCTAGAAGATCAAAGATCATCCTATTTTACAAAGGGGTCAACTTAGGTGTAGGCCCTAGTTGATAAAGTCTGGGGTGAGGCCAGTGAAAGACTGAGGCTGAAGGCCAGATCCACTAAGGGCTGAGTACCACCAAATACCTGGGAAATGCATGGTACTCATTCACTAGAGAGAAACAGTCAGTCCCAAAGGAAAAGCAAAGCGCAGTCAATTCCTCCTGTCTAAGACCTCCCAGATCAGCTAGGACATCTCACAGAAGACTCCAATTTATTCACAAAGACAAGAAGACAGCAGTTTTCTAAATTCATGTCTAAACCTACTTACATCTGCTTAATGCTGCCTTCGTGAACCCTAATCCCCCTAATACTCTGGGACACCTCCAATTAATTCAATTCGAGATTTTCTGCCTCAGTCAGCAAGGTACTTGCAGAGCCATAGACTGTGAACTTCCTGGGTCAAGTCTATCCTAGCGAGCCCAGAGAGAAGCAGCTGTCCTTCAGCTAACAGCCACACCTCCTTGTTTTATTGTCCTTCCTTGCTTCAATGCTGGAAAATGATTGCTTTTGTCCAATTTGTAAAAATCGGTTATTCCCAAGCTAACTTAGTTCGCTCCAAAGTAATTAAACTTTTGTTCATAACGACGAATATATTTTTGTAAAAACTGACCAGTAGGAAATGTATCACGATTATTCATAAGGGTGTCAACCACTCCTATGAGATCCAAAACTCTCTGAAAGGAAAATAACAGTCATATAACAGCACGCTTCCACCCTTTAATGCGTCGGGAGTTCTAGAACTAATTTCAATGGGTATGGGAATGCTGATTAAAAGTCCCAACAGCTTTCACTCTTCAAAAGTGACAGCGTAGCCCGCTTCTTTCTTTCATCCGATAGTACATTCTGCTCCCAGCTCCCGATTACCCGCGGCTCCCCCGCTCTCCAGCGTGAGGTCTGCAAGGACCTGGGCCGCACTGAGCGGTGGGTAGGTGTGTCTGGCGGTCATCCCCAGCCACGGCTGCCGAGGATCCCCCACCCACAACGGCCCCACAGCCTCCAAACCCGCTCACCTAGTTCTGGAGCTGGAAGGTCCTCTCCACAGCAGAGAAGCCAGCCACCGTGCTGTGCGTACCAAACGAGCTCACTCAAACCCTGAAGACGTGGCCCAGCCTGGCTTCCGGCCCGACGCCCCGCCCCTCGGCCAAGATGTCCCCGCCCCTCTTCCCGGCCCCCGCCGCAGCCAATCGCGGCGGGGAGGATGTTCTAGCCCCGCCCCATGCGCCAAGCCCCGCCCCTAGCCGTCCGCGCGCCGCTCGCGCCCGCGGAACTGCGGCTGCGGTTCGAACCGGGTCGGGGGCTGCTTGGCTTTGAATGAGCTGGAAGGGTGAGGCCGCGGCGGCCGAGGCTGGCCGAGGGTTAGCACCCGGGGTGGGCAGCTGCGCCTCCCTGCCTGGACCTCGGGAGGCCGGGGTCCCCGGAGGGCGGGCGCACTGATGTCCCTCCGACCACCGAGGTCACCTCCCAGCCCAGCCTCTGGAAGGCGAGGGCAGCGCCATCCCCGTGGGTCCTCACCCCCCTCGACCCTAGGCGTCCTTTTATTAAGTGACAGACCCCTCCCCCAGCTCCCTGGCTAGGCCGAGGCAGCCTTATGCACCTGCGCGAGATGCAGCACGCCACTGCAGTCCGGGGAGGCTGTCCTCCAAGGGGTCTGCGGAAGAGGGCTGGCGGCTGGCGGCAGGGACGACCCAGAGCCCTCCTCTCCGTTCCGCGGGCATCCCTCCTCGCCGCCTCCAGCTCTGCGCAGGCCTGAGATCCGAGTGAGATTCCAGGGCCGGCCCCTGCTTTTCTCGGGATTGAGGCTGGCCTGGCCGGGGGTACAGGTGTTTGCAACCACCTGCCGCGGAACGTGTCTCCCAAACACTTGTTGAAAGCTCAGACTTCTGAATGGCCGGTCAGAGTGCGGAAGAGAGACTAGGAAATCTAGGTTTTGACGGAGCATTTTAAAAGGATATTGTGCATACTAGATTTGGTGCTCAGGAGAGAAATCTAAACAGTTTAAGTGTCTCTGTGTGTGTGCCCCTAGCTCTCTGCAAACGGTGGAAATGCCTCCTAGAAAAGGGACCTTGGGAAAATTTCCTGGACACCAGATGTCATTAACAAACCCACTGTTTCTGGGCCTCTCCAGGTTTCCAAGCAGGTTAATTTGGAGACATGTCAGCATCGGTAAAAGAAAGCCTTCAGCTTCAGCTGCTGGAGATGGAAATGCTGTTTTCTATGTTTCCCAACCAAGGAGAAGTAAAACTTGAAGACGTAAACGCCCTAACGAACATAAAGCGATACCTGGAAGGTACTAGGGAGGCGCTCCCACACAACATCGAATTTGTGATCACGCTCCAAATTGAGGAGCCCAAGGTGGGTGCTTTTATTTGTTCTAAGTGTTTCTGGGTGCTCACTTTTTTGTGTATTTTAATGTGTATGGGTGTTTTGCACTCATGTGTGTGCCTGTGAACCTTGTGCATGCCGTGCCCTCGGAGGCCAGAGGAGGGCAGACCTGGAGGTACAGAAATTTATGAGACACCATGTGAGTACTTGGAATCGAACCTGTGCCCTCTAGAAGAGCAGCCAGTGCTCTGGACAGCTGGGCCATCTCCATTCCCGAGGTGCCCAGTTTTTAACAGAAAAACCCAGTGCATAAGCTTCCTATCCAGGAGACAAATAGACAATCCCAAATACATATCCCAATACTTGTTAGGAAGGAAAAGGTACCAAACACGAGACGCTCCTTAAGTTATCTTAAGTAACTATCCTGACTTTTACATAAATGCACATCCCTTTTTAACAAACGTGCCGACTGATTTCAGTGGAAATACCTTGCAGTCTTGTTGTTATTCCATCCTCTCATCCAGTTTCTTAGCAACCCAACTGTTAGAATGCGTCTTCTACATACACCATGGTTTTCACAAACCTGAATGCTGCCTGCTACAGAGGGGCTTCTCTGAAGTTAATGAATGCTTAGGATTTTGTTTCGAGGGCACTGACTGTGGCTAGTAACTACAAATACAAAATCTAAACGTTAAATATAAATTTACCCCCATCTTCTGTTCCCTTTGTTCCTAGGAATATTAGCAAAGCATAGTATAGGCACCATATGGACGGGGCACTTGAGAACTAATGTTAGCTCTCACCTACTCATCCTTCAGTTACCATTCCTTCAGAGCAGGGGTACTGCTTCCCCAGACTTGATTTTTATCTCACTGATTACACACTTCAATGGAACCCTGAACTTCTCCCATGGTAAATGCCACTTCTCAAAATTATATTCTCCCTATGTGTGGTCATTGTTTAATGTGTGTCTCCTTCACTAGGCTCTATTCTAAGGCAGAAATCGTATCTGACTTCATCCCTTCCTTATCCAGCACGGGTCACCCACCAGGCACATGTAGGTCAGCAGTGATTAGTATGTAGTGATTGGTCTGTAGCTGGCACTTGCCAGTCTACATGACTGTTCCTATCATAGTCATACAGTTGCCACGATAAACTGGCTCATGTGGTTTTGTGGTCATTTAAATCTGTGTGGTTTTTCTTTTAAGGTGACAATTGATTTGCAAGTTACCATGCCTCACAGCTACCCATACGTGGCTTTGCAGCTGTTTGGACGATCACCTGAGCTTGACAGACAACAGCAGCTTCTTCTCAACCAAGGTCTCACTGCTTATCTAGGGACTTTCGATCCAGGTGAGCTGTGTGTCTGTGCAGCAATCCAGTGGCTGCAGGACAACAGCGCATCCTACTTCCTCAACAGAAAGCTGTCGGATGAGCCATCCACACAGGCAAAGCCAGTCAAGAACACATTCCTCAGAATGTGGATCTACAGCCACCACATATATCAGCAGGACCTCAGGAAAAAGATTTTGGAAGTGGGGAAAAGGTTAGATGTGACTGGATTTTGCATGACAGGAAAGCCTGGTATAATCTGTGTGGAGGGCTTCAAGGATCACTGTGAGGAATTCTGGCACACAATCAGATACCCTAACTGGAAACACATTTCCTGCAAGCACGCCGAGAGCGTGGAGACAGAAGGGAGCGGTGAAGACTTGCGCCTCTTCCATTCCTTCGAAGAGTTGCTCCTCGAGGCCCACGGTGACTACGGACTAAGGAATGACTATCACATGAACCTGGGCCAGTTCCTAGAGTTTCTCCGAAAACACAAAAGTGAGCATGTTTTTCAGATACTATTTGGTATTGAAAGCAAAAGTTCAGAGTCTTAGGACTCTATTAAAATATCTATGCTTGTAATTGTACTAAGTATTTATGTTAATAAAACCAAAATAAAAAGGCCAATGACTATATAGAATTCTGGGTGGAAAACCTGGCTCTAGAATTTTCTGACTGCTAACGAAGCAAACAGGCCTTTTAACTTCCTATCAGTCTAACTGTGATGTTTCCAGGTTGCTGTGTAAGGTCACACTTGGTTATCATTTCATTATAAATTAATGAAACAGTATATTTAACCAGAGAAACTTGGCTCAACAAGTCCAAAGCCAGGCTCAGAAGGGCAGAGCACTGGCCACTCTTCCAGAGGACACACAGCAGCTCACTGCCATCTGTAACTGCAGTTCCAGTGGATCCCATACCCTCTTCTGGCCACCTCGGGCACTGGCCTCACATGTGGTGCATAGACATGTGCAGGAAAACCCATACCCACACACAAAAATAAATAAATGAAGTCCCAAGCCCCACAATTAATGTCAAAAACCAGACTGCAGATATAGATTCATAAATATGAGACATATCTCAGTTTCATAACACCAGCACATAGATGGCCCACCAGCTCATCACCGGAAATGAATTCTAAATCACAGATAAACTGAGAATAAAGAGCACCTGTTTGGTACATTCTTACTTTAAAACCCCCATCTGAAGAGTTTTAGTAAAACTAGATTCTAACAGCAACAGTGGATCACTGTAAAGTCTCAGGAGTTGCCCACCTTCATATGTGCATACACAGATAAACACATTAAAACTCTTTTTTAAAAAATGAAGGTTAACAGCTTGTATTTCCCTGACTACCATTTGGTTAAAAATACTACTGGCAATGGTAGAAATATTCTTAGTCTTATTCACAAAAAGCGTGTGGCTTTTTTCTACTCCACAGTTCTTAGCTAGAAAACATTCCCTGGGGTTTTCCAACATCTGCCCATGCACAAGTATGCACTTTGAAACATAGCAAGAGAAAGCTGAGGATCACTGAGGAGGGTACCCCACCACCTTTGGGAAAAAGTCAAACTGTACTTTCAGTGCTAAGTCTAAAGTTCCACCAGCCCTTTTCAAAAAGTTTAATTTGTTTTAAACCCCTAATAAGGGGTTGGAGAGAGAACTCAGTGGCCAAGAGCACTGGCTGCTCATCCAGAGGACCTAGGTTCAATTCCTACTCACTACTGTCTGTAACTCCAGTTCCAGGGGATCTGGTGCCCTCTTTGACCTCTAAGGATACCAGTCATACACATGGGGCAAATACTCATATACATAAAATAAAAAATTGTAAAGACCCTCAGTAAAGTAGTTTTTCCCAATCATTTTGTTGCTAAGTATCTAACCCAAGAATTTCCAGACATCTATGTGCCAGGGGACCTTCCCCTCCCTCTGGTCTCAACCATCACACTCCTTTCCGGAAGAGAATCCCATCCATCCTCCTGCTGGGTCTCAGGCTGAGGACTTGATCCATTCAGGATGCCAAAGTGGCAGGACTTAGTGTCACGCAGAGCAATGCCCCAGTCCTCATGAAACATCATCGGCTGCCAATGTTATATGCATTGAGAAACTTGGAGAAGCTTCTGGTGAACCAGTATCTTCATGCCTGCTGCCTGTCTAGGATGGAAGTACGTGCCCTTGGGCTAGGGAGGGCACTCCACGGCCTCCTCAGGTTCCCCTGTGCCCATGAGGCTGTAGAACTGGCTCCATTGTAGCTCAGTAGGAGTCTTCTCAAGGCGCAAGTCAGTCTGTGAAAGTTCTCAGTGATGGAAAGACCTTAGCTCCCCCGACTCATGTTTCAATCCTTTTTTTATGCCAATGGAACCCAAGCTGGGGCCTCACACCTTACTTACATATAAGGGGAAGAAACAGGATTTAACATCACCAAACAAGCTCTCCATGTTTGCCAAGCCTGAAAACAATATGGCATAGGAATCACCTTCATACATCTCTCCTTAAACTATCAATCATTAAACCAACACTCACAATTATTAGGCCCTATTTAAGTCCATTAACCCTTTGTCCTATGAAATGAGACTACGTGCTATACAGTTGACCCAGAGGATTTTTCCTATGATTAAGTTAGCAAAAATGGCTTCTGAAATATAAATAGCTTAAGGAGTAAAATATGGAACAAAACTAGATTATTACATAATTCGATGAGCAGAATACATTCAAGTCTATGAACTCATAACTACCTCTGGAGTTACTTCTATGAATTTTTTTTAGTACTCTGCTTTAACATGCCCAGTATTGGCACTGAACAAGACTTTTAGGTATATGTTACCAACAGACAGTCGTTAGAGGTTCAGATTTTATATCAAAATGTCTGTTTGCACGTTCGAATACACATACATATACATACATAGGATCTCATTCAACACTCACTCAGCACACTGTTGTGTTTGCCCAGCCCAACAGGAACACAAACCACCCTCCCTCATGGACACATGGCTTTGGGGAACAGCCCCTTCTGTAGGGTTCAGAGGAAGTAACTGGAATCAGCCAGCCCTGGGCAAAGGCCCTCTTGAGTTCCTGACACCAGGACCACCTCTGACCCCCTAAATGTCCAGCTTCTCAGGACCTCCTCTGTGCTGCTGATCATCTTCCTTTGCTTATGAAGGCAGACTTGGCTACAAATGACACTCTAAGTTAAAACCTTTAAATGACTATTTGGGAAGAATGGTTGTTCATAACAATTAAGATCTCTGAAGTTTACTGAGTTAAGCATTTTCTAAAGTGTTTTCGTCTTTCGTTCTTTATTGATATATTAAATCTTCACCTAAGAGCGGAAGACACTTGGGGGAGTGGTGGGGGTGGGGCACCTCAGCTGACAGACTATGATGACAAGCACGTTACCTGTGAGATGAAGGCCTCATCTAACTATGTATGTGCCGCCTATACCTCTCTCAAAACTCGGAGGTGCTCTTAGGGTGCCTAGTCGAGGAATTCAAGGAGCACTTTTGATTTTTTTTCATTTGCTCTTACTGTAAGTGCCCTATTAGTAAGTCTGAAGAATAGTTATATCCTGCAGGGCATCGTTTGGCTCCCAAACCCAGGTTTTATGCAGAAACCAAAGTCATTACCTCACTTTCATTAGGCCCATGTGGAAGAACTCACTTCACTGCAGCAAACTGTCACCTAAGAGACTCCTCTCTGTCACGTCCAGTCAAAGCTGGAGGCATCTGGATCAATCCATAAATGGGTTTAAGCAATGTGCGCAAATTTTTCTCAAGTCCATCAAATAGCCAAATATTGTGGTACAGGTCTATAATCCCAGCACATGGAAGACATAGGTCGAGACGGAAGGATTCAGATTTGAGGCCAGCCTGAGCTACATGGCCAAATGCTGTCAAAAGAGTCCACCAAACACCAAGGGCCCTCTTTTCTAGACAGAGGAACAAAGTACACAATTGTCCTTCACTATGAAGTAGACATCCTTACTGTCCCCGAGTGCACCAGACTTTTGTGTTTTCAGGGGATCTATTTTTCCCACTCTGGCTATGCTGTATCTTATACCAGGCATCCAGAGAACTAATGATTTGGTATTTGAGGTCCTGTCAGCACATCATCGTCAGGTATGGGACCACCGCTGTCCAATGGTGAGATGGTAAAGGCCCAGTATGGAATGAAGTCCTGATACAGTCAGGGTTAATGTGGCCCTGGAAGTAGATGATCTGTACTGCTTACTGAGATAAGGCAAACTGACCCAGCCGTTCTCTCCTACTGCAATAAGGGGCAGACAGGGCCTGGAGAGATGGCTCAGAGGTTAAGAGCACCGACTGCTCTTCCAGAGGTCCTGAGTTCAATTCCCAGCACCCACATGGTGGCTCACAACCATCTGTAATGAGATCTGGCGCCTTCTTCTGTATACATAATAAATAAATAAACCTTTAAAAAAAAATAAATAAGGGGCAGACACACTGGCTAAATTAATGGCCACCTACTGATTAGCTAAATGTTCATGAATATACTGTCATTCTGAGAGACCCATCTGCCTCCTTGATATGCCAATAATTGTGTTGAATGAAGATCTAAGAATAATATCCTTGTTTCCTTTAAAGCTCTTAAAAGCTGAAATCTAAGCCTGGTGTGGTGGTGCATACCTTGAATCCTAGCGCTAGGGAGACAGAGGTAGGATGACCTCTGTGAGTTTGAGGTCAGCCTGGTCTACAAAACAAGTTCCAGGACAGCCAGGGCTATTAACACAGAGAAACTGTCAGGGAAGGGGGGAGAGGGGCTGGAATCTATCTCTGCAAATTTCTTGGTACCTTCTGTTTATTTATGGATCAGAGATCCAATGTGGGACTATTGTTATGGAATACAAAGATTTCCATTCTTAAATGATAAAACACATAAAATTTTGTGTTTAAAAATAATTTAAGGTTATTTAACCAAGCAGTGGTGGCACATGCCTCTAATCCCAGCACTTGGGAGGGAGAGGCAGGCAGACCTCTGTGAGTTCAAGGCTAGTCTGGGCTACTGAGTGAGTTCCAAGACAGGTTCCAAAGCTACACAGAGAAACCCTGTTTCAAAAAAAAAAAAAAAAAAAAATTAAGGCAATTAGAGGGTTGGCCCAGTGTTTGGGAGTGTATATTACTCTTCCAGAGGACCCAAGTTTGGTTTCCAGCACCCACACATTAGATGGTTTACAACCATATAACTGCAGCTCCTGGGGATCCCAAACTCTCTCTGGCTTCAGCAGGCATCTGTACTCACGTGCACATACCTACACACATACACATACACAAAATTTAACAATAAAATAAGTCTAACAAAAATTAAAATACAAAGTAATTTAAAAACTAACTTCTTGTTGGAAAAATAATCAGAGGGCAGGTACGTCAGTTCTGTCCAACAGAACCCAGTGATGTCAGAGACCCCAGAGCCCATACTAAGTAAGAGCACTAGTCACTAAGTGACTAAGGCCTAGTCACTGCATGTCTGCAGCGCACTGTCCTGCAGTGAATGTAAGCCTGAAAAAATATTCTGGAAACATATTTATAACAATGCTACTGGGTTCATCTTAAAGGTTGTAATTCTTGAGTGTTTGTGTCCCTGGCCCCACCCCCCACCCCACCCTAAAGGTCCTGGTGCTAAAGG